ACATTCGACACTAATACACACACACACACACTGGCGCAGACCTCTCTGTGGATCTTCAGGTACCGAATTAGTAGGCAAAACCTCAGATCTGCCTGCAGTGGAGAACACATGGCTCTTCCTTTGATCTGCTTGTCTTTGGAGCATTTCCATATACACAGAGATACTCTGCAAGATGAATATAGATGATGAAACTGCAGCAACCTAAAAAACAGCAGAAAAGTTTCAAGTTCTTACAGCCTTATCTGCCCTGCTTATCTCTCTCTCTCTCTGTACATCTGTCCATCTATCCTGTCTGTGCCGGACAGATTCTCCCTGGATATATTTTTTATGACATGCAGTAAGGCATATCTAAAATGGTCCACCTGAGTAAAATTAAGATTTAATGTTTTAGGCACTAGTGTTGTAGAGGAGATGGATGGCACTTAATGCAGTCTGAGGCAGAGTGCTGGTCAAAACATTATTCCTCGCACCCAACATGAGAAAGCTATCGGGGCTTCTATCTATGTGCTTTACCATGGAAACAGTCTCACCTTTTCTGATTCTTTATTATTTCATTCGGAAGTCTCTTTTCTTCTCTTAAAGCTTTGCTGAAAGCTCCCAACTGTTTCACTGTTGCCCTTTTGTGCTGTTGGCCAGATCTCCAAACCCTTCTTTCTTGGAATCACTCTCTTTCATCTCATCTGTCACTTTTGTCTCTTTCTTGCTTGTGATGCGTTGCACGCCTGAAAGAATCTGTGTTATTTATGCAAGTTTTCTGTCATCTGAGGCACAATTTCCATGTAATTAGGGGAGAAGGCCTCGCTTTAATACATATGCATTGAGGAAAGATGGCACAGATAGCAGGAGATATGAAACAAGAGGCTGATTGCACATTCTAATGTATATCACCTCGATGCTTGGTTTCCATGGAAAATTACCTCCCTCCAAAGACATGCATGCACATTTACATTGGTATATAAGAGAAAAGATATTTTAATTATCATGTAATCTATCGAAAACTGTTTGGTTGAAAACAAGACAACAGACTAAAACACAGGACTGGGAGATGTGGCTTTGTCGTAAACAAAAAGTTGACATTCCCCGAGCTGCTGCGGTACAAAGATATGGATTGCACTCTTGATAAGTCAAGGCAAGGCAAATTGAACTGCATTGTTGTTGAACGGTGCTCTATAAATCAAAGCGCTTTACTTAACATATAAAAAAAGTCAGGATGTATAAAAAAGAAATATTACTGTAAAGGACACATATAAAAAGAGTACAATAAAATAACAGATTAAAGAGCATAACACAAATCACACTGCAGTAACAGTGGAGGGCAAGACATGAATGAATAGTCCCACTGTTAATTTAATAAAATATGTAGATATGGCAAACAAACGTTTAAAGTATTGATTCAGAGAACTGAGAATTGGAGCAGACCTGAAATTTTAACATATAATTCACAGAGGCACTGCTCCTCCATGTTTAGTCAAGATAGACTTTTTTTTCTTTTTAACAAGACGTGTTTTGTTTGGCACCACTTTTGTCACCCTGTTGCTTCTTGAAATTTTTTGGCAGTAGTATGACTCCACTGTTGTACTTTTACAAACATTTCTTGGAGTTAATGTCAAGATTAAAACTTTATCAGATGCCTAAATCAGTTTCTCAGCTGAATTTTGGAAGATTGCTACTTCATCACGTAACATTATCTTGTGATTTGTTTTCAATTTTTATTTTTTAGGTTGGTAATCTTACAAAAATCGCCTCACCAAACTGCACTTTTTGGAATCTTTGACACACATAACACATCTGGAAAGCAACCCCAGACACTGATTGCGTAATGGACTGCTGCCTTAGCAAATCACACAGTAATTACCCACAGATAGTGCTCGCACAAATTGAATGAAAAGATGCACCGCAAATTTGCCCTGTGCACATACTTAACTCCGGCCAACAGTCTCTTTTACTTATATTCACATGTCACGTCCATGAACGTCTGTCTGCTCTTCTCTTTTTGTCACACACACACACACACACACACACACACACACACACACACACAGAGTACACATCACCCCTGCCCTCTGGCGGTACACACCTCCCCTCTTACTGCAGACAGCATCAAGTCTCCTGACATTTATTCGCCCTAATGCATTGTCATACCTCCATCTTCTATTTGAGGTCTCAAACCTGAAAAAAAAAAATCTATTGTAACAGAGAATAAACCTTTATTCCAGACATATAATTTACCAAGATCACACTTGTCTGTGGGAGAGCAGGAAAAACATTTACGGCCCCGCCGCGGTGGTATTTGTGGTCGGGGGGCTCTTGAGACATCATTATCCTTTCAGTTTGAGACGTCTGTGGTGAGGAAGTAAACTCAGGAAAATTGGCTTGTCTTCTCCGGCTCTCGCAGAAGCTTGGGGGCCCTAAAAATCCTATTTACGATCCGGCAAACAATTCCGCCGTCAAGTTCCTCAACTTTGCCATCTCACAATTTATTCACGGAGTTGGAAATTGAAGGAGCGCTTTAGCTGTTATTGAAGGTGATTGTGGAGGTTGTCATTTAAATTCCAGGCTTTATATTAAGAGTGTTTGCCATTGTTACTTTTGTCTACATTTGTGCAGTGAAGGCCATTTTGAAAAGCAGGGGAAAGACTGCAGTTTGATCTTGAGTTTTTCTCTCTATAAATGGTACTTTTTGCAGTGGTAAAATCCAGCACTTTAAGTTAATGTCTTAATGTATCTAATGCGTCTCTACACTGGTCCTTTGCCATGCAGCTTTTTTAGGGAAAGCCAACAAATGTCAAACGTCTCACTTTGGAAGAGTGGCCATTATTGACTGTGTTTCAGTTTTAACAGAGGAAGAAATTCATGATGAATCTCTCCAGTTGGGCGTTTAATGTTACATCCAATTTACTTGACATTAATGCTAACATCAGCTGATTAAACTGCGGTGGGTTTGCATGACTGATGCTAACGAAATTGCTGACTATCTTCCCACATTACTTAATTTAACGTTAATACATCTCGATGGGGAGAAAGTCTGTACCGGAAGAGAGTTATGTGTCTCAGAGATGACATTGGCTCTCTGCTCGATTGGTGGTGCACACTAATTTGCATTGATGTCGGTCCCATTGAAAATAAACCAAAAAAGTGTTAAACTCAGATAATGAGTTATCTGCTTCTAAATCATCTGACGGTACGTCTCCTCGGTGACAACATAATTCCCATCAGCCATAAGCTCTCCATATATCTATTTTATATCCTCTTAGATGAGCATATATGCATGAGCCTTGTGCCATTTGCAGGCAATGATTGCTTTGTGCTTTTGTCATATTTGCATCTCTTCCAACTGTTCTATGGCACGAACAAGACTGAGAACTGTAGGATTATTAAATGGAGATGCCATCGACACGCAGGGAATGCAAATATCTAAAGCAAATACATTCAGCATTTTCTTCTCATTTTCACATCAAACATCAGATAGCACAGTTTGTTTTTCATCTGTGTTATCTGATGCAGTCTAAAGTAGAGCTTCAGAGATTAGTCAATTAATCGAAAAAATCAGTCCATCGAAAAAACATTGCCAATTATTGTTGATACTTTTCAAATGTGAGTATTTCCTTTGTCATTTATGATTGCAAATGAAGAGTCTTAAGATTTTGGACTGTTGGTTGGACAAAATACGCAATTTGAAGATGTCGCTTTGGCTCTTTCTTTATAATTTGGTGGTTTGGACATCACTGACCATTCACAGACAACAGCACTGGTATATTTTTATCTATAAAGGAATATTGGGCAAACGTCCGGCCTATCTCTGTACCCTTGTGTGTGTCAGCTCCTGTAGTTACCAGCTACACTCCTCCAGGCGGTTGCTTTTTAATGTACCGTGGGTTTTAACAGATCTGGGGAAAACTGCATTGTCCGACTCTACAGCATGGACATGGAACAATCTTTAGAAAGATCTAAAATTAGAAACACTTATTTCCATCGATGAATTAAAGGGCATCATAAAGAATGTGGTGACAGAGACATGTGCTTGTTTTTATTGAGAGGCCACTATGCTTGAAAAGTTGTTGTTTCATTGTGGATTTTTGTATTATAGGTTGTATTTGTTGCATTTTAAATGTGCTTTGATTGGCTGCTACCTTGGCCAGGTCTCTCTTGTAAAAGATAAGTTCAATCTCAATGGGACTTCCTGGTTAAATAAAAAAAACAACTGTANGACTAAATGTTTACTCTATTATAGTGAAAATAATTGCCATATTAATCAATAATGAAGTAATTGTTAGTTTAAGCCCTACTGTAACTGCATAATGACATTAGTCCTGAAATACTGGTTTGGTCTTCACCAAAACACTAAATGATCTTATAATTTAACATATCTGATCGGAGTATTAATCTGAATCACACTAAAAAGGCATGTTTAAAGAGACTTTTGTTATTACAACATATACACAAGATGGCATTCCTCTAAGAATTCAGACATCTCACCAAGGATAAACCCACATATTATAGACCGGTATATAATGAAGATAACATGATTTTAACAGGCAGTAGACCAAAACAACATGAATATTTGAGTAATGGCAACCTTACAGTATGAAAAACTTGAGAAAATGTATGTTCTAGAACATGAATGTGTACCATATTTGATTCAAACCATACATAATCACATTATATCACTATTTTCTGCATCTCCTATTAGTGTCTTCCAGTGATGCAGCTCATTTATTTTACCTGAAATCAAAGAAAGAAAAAAGAAAGGGAAGATTAATCACATATATTTCGGTGTGTCTGTAGTAGCAATGACGTGGTGATGAAAAGCCCTGAAAATGGTCCCAAGTTCATCTCCTGACCTTGATCGAGAAATTCAAAAGACGTTTCTTTCTGGCTGTGTCTCTCATCTCCAAACATGTCTTTATAAAGCAAGCAGAGCACACAAGGAAAAACACTGCTTGCTGTCCTTAAAAAAAAATATTGATTGCATGCATTTATTTTCTCTCTCCTCCCCGCAGCTCCTTCCAGACTGATGACGATGATGAGGTGTCTAACAAGACGTGGGTGCTGACTCCCAAAGTGTACGAGAGTGACGTCACGCACATCCTAAACAGCCTACTAGACGGATATGACAACAAACTCAGACCTGACATCGGAGGTGGGTGCTGATTTTTCACAGATGATCCGTTTAGTCGCAGAATCACAAAGACGTACACCCACATTTGTGCAATCAACTGCATATATGCACTCATTGACTGACATACATGCTTATATCCAAGCAGTTTGCGCATCAACTGTAGAAAATAGGGGATGTAGCATGTGTGATGTCACCCACTGATTTCTAGAAGGAGCCTGGAGCGTGCCATATTTTCACTTGCTGAAGGCAGATAATCTGTGCTTGTGCAACGGTGTAAAGCCTGAAACACTTGTTAATGAAAGCGAATCAGCCCCAAAATACACCCCTCTTTAATCTTTAATATGATTCTCAAAATTGTCACTAAGAAATACATTAAAGGGAATATTTCTCCTTTTTTTGGGAGAATCAAGCAGCAATTAGAGGAATTGCATCTTAAGGCACTTATGCAAACTGCGGGGATACTACTAAAAACACATCTAGTGACACTTCATGTGCACATACTTATCAGATTTTTTTTTCTTAAATAAAAAACACAAGGTCTTACGGAGCTGAGGAAACAGCCTTGTGGTCAGACATGTTCCTCAACAGGCAGAAGACGATGTGAGAGCGAACGAAAATCACCATTGCTGGTGTAATTGGCTTCTCACACAACAACAGTGTGTGGGTCAGGAATCTGTTGACTTTTTGTCTTTATAAAAACAAAGACTTGCAATTTGACTTCAACACCAGAGACACATTACTTCACTTGGACTCTGGCCTGATGGCTTGGAATCAATTGATATCCTCCAACGCCCAAAGCCTAAAATCATGTTATACAAAGTAGTTTTTTCTTCCTGACAACAGTCATATATTTTTAATTAATATGGCAGCTGCAGCCAGTCACATGGCACAAACACGAGGGGAAGGTCCATTTTGCAGTCTTTGCTTATTTACCAGGAGCTTACCATTGAGTTTTGCAGGCATCAAATTCAGAGGACCCGTGACCTGCTGAAGACTCAAAACACAAGGTTTAAGACTTGGACTTAACTCTGCCTCCATAGCTAAGACTTGTGACCTACTTGAGACTTTCCTCACCTCTGGTCAGAGCTAGTAATAATGTTAGTCTTGCCACCTGATACATATTTGAATATCTCTCCTGCAAATTGTGAAATGATAAGAAATAATGACTTTTTAATGGCATGAAATGAAAATGCTAGGCCAGCTGCAGCTGGATGGCCTATGCATATTCACTGGCTGTAGAAATTGAACACAGAGGATTTAATATGCGCTGCATACAGTTCATTATTACTCCATGCTGGGTAGTACAAGGTGTCCTTGTGTGTTTGCCTTTGTCTATTCTATGTGTGTGTTTGTGCAGTGTGTTGACAGGCTGCTGGGCTGATTATAAAGTGTGCATACTTGTGTTTATGTACATGCATATGTTATGGTCAAGATAGCAGTCCATCATGGTCCTGCAAGCCCCGTCTTGTTGATGTGAGAAGTAGACGAGTAGCTTACACCCTTCATTTTGACAGACAGCTGGGCAGGGCTCCCTTGTCTGCACAAGTGCACATATATCCTAAAGCCTGTCACGTCCATCTGCAAGAGCAGAATAGGGAGATATTCAGTACCCTTGAATACTTGATTCATGGGTCAGTATTCCTGGGAAAACTGGTTTAAGTCAGAATCTGTCACAGACCCTTACAGAATAATAAAGATATACCACTCTATATGCTAGCAATGAAATGCCTCTCCAACCTCTGTAAGGGCGCAGGGTAGTGCTGTGTTAAAGCAGCAAATGGCAAGAATAGTTTGGCAGAATGCCCTGGTCTTATCAGTCTATGTCACAGAGTTACAATGGAGGCACTTTACATTTGTCTTGTTTGCCTAAATAAGGTGTTGTGTATTGTGCTGGTGTACACACACATAGGGAGAGGAAAACTGCAACTGAAATACGCAACCTGCACCCGTAACAGCAGCAACAAAGGGCTCCATCCAGAGAAGAAATATTGACCCTTTTTGTATCTCTGCCAGATGAAGTAATCACAAACCGATGAGCCAGTTTCCAATTCATTTATTTATTCAGTTAGTAGAATCATGTTCTGGGCAGGTAACAGATTCATTTATCTGACTTCATATTATTTCTGGGTTTTAATTAGGTGTCCATGCTACTTGGAGCCACCAACATTTAAACGTGCCTATTTTATTATATATTTTTATTATCATTATTCCCTATTTTTTGGTATTTTTGCCCTGATTGGACAGATGAACACTGTAGGCAGACTGGACATAGGCAGGAGAGACAGAAAGGTATATCATGCGACAGAGTTCCTATGGTTGGAATTTGGATGTTGAGGTTACATGGCAGCTACTACGATGCTCCAAACCTGCCCAGCTTTTAATTATTACTCCTGGTTTAGAATGTGCTGCGGACTTTGTCACTGCTCCCGTCTCTGTTGACCTAAGGAGGAAGTATAGTTCAACCTAATTAGCCGCTTCTTCACACCTGACACTAAGAGGTTCTTGCTATCCCTGGATGTATAAGGATGTATAAAGAGAACTGGATACAGCGTTGGAGGCAAAGCCCAGCTCATTCCAAAAATGTTTGTCAGTGGCATATGGGGCCAAAAAAAGTTCAACTTCCAGGGTATGAAATTAACTAGACCTTCCGCATCGTTGGGCCATTGAACAAGTGCACGAGAGACTTCTGTCCGTCAAACAGCTAGCTTCCAGTTTAGCCCTCTGCTAACTTGAATGGCGATCATATGCGGCTCTTTTAGACTTGAGAATCGTTATTGGACTCAATGGATGAAATCCCATCAGTGAAACGAGTTATTTTTAGGGAGTTGTGACTCTTGAAAAATATATCCACTGATCTACAGTGGATATACTGATCTACCTTGCGATATAAGTCTATTTTGGGCTCCGGTGGCATCCTGTGATGGACCCTGTAACTCCATGGTTTGGCCACAATGCTAAATTGGCTTCAAAACACGGCGCTGCTCCTGGGGGCGTAGCTGCCCCCTCCATGGCCAGTTATTTCAGGTGGACCAAACTGGAGATAACATTGCCAAGGATTGACCTGATGCAACTTTAAAGCACAGCTAATGAATTGACTGAAATGTTGGCACAAGATGAAAGCAGCTGAGTAACACGGATACATAGAGTAAATCTGTTTTATGTCCTTTCCACATTCTGTATATGTACAATGCTGCATGTAATGTGAAGCATTTCATGGAGGCCAGCATCTTTATTCTTAAGACTCTAGAAGAGGGCTTGTGCTATAAATTGAAGAGCAGCTCAGATGTGCTTTGAGGTGCAGCTTCAGCGCAGAGAGCCGCTGCATAGCTGGGCGGCAGGCTGCCACCGTCTTAACCATCATCTTCAAACACGCTATGATCTCACTCACTCAGCGGTGGTATTCCAGCTGCTGCCAAGTTCCACAGCTACAGAGGGGTTATAATTAGCTGGCTATACTGTCATCTGATCCACCAACCAATCAACCAACCAACCATACCAAGGCAAAGGAAAGATTCTCCTCCACTCCTCAGAGTGCTGAAAAGCTGTGGATTTAGATTCATCGCCGATTGTGCCACACTCTCCCTTTGAAGTCCATTGTGATGCTCATTTAATTTTAATGCCCCTGGAGTCTACTGTACGTATGAAAACTGAAGCAAATAGGACAGAGACACTAAGAGAGAGAGAAAAATCTGTAATTCTTAAATCACAGTGCATCCCTGGCTTTGATCAAGGTCATTGCCTACTAGAAAATAAAAAAAGATTGTTTCATAGAATTCACAAGTAAGGAGAGAAACGACAAGGACAGAACGTTATTAAACAGTGAGTTTAATTAACAGGTCCAAATGATTGCTAATGCATGATGCTGCATTTGGTCAGGGTCTATGAGCTAATTCTATCAGCCTTTTACCAGGACGCCTGTGGTGGGTGTGTTGGCATGTATTATGTCGTCTCAGACAGCGAGTTAGAAATCTTAGCACAACCACTTCATGTTCACTGGCATCTTGGAATAATGTTTCCTTGGCATCTGTTGCCGTATTTATGAAAGACATCCACTTCTCCAGTTGGCGGTATGAAATAAGACACATTTGTTTTTATTTATTAATATTGTATTTATACCATGCCTGTATCTTTATGTAAGATTTGACTAATAAAGCAGCCGAGGGTTACATATTCTCTGCATCACATTTTCAGTAACAGTAATTTCAATTATGTCGGCTCAGTAATGTGCACTAGTCTTCATCACTTACTGACAAAAGGAATACTTGATTGTTTAGAAAATGCTGTGAGATCTAGTGTTCATTGAGAGCATTGTGCACCTGTGTCTATGTGTGTGTGTGTGTGTGTGCATGATTTTGCTCATGTATGTTAAAGTGTATGTTGAAGGGTGGGGGTGCAATGCACATTGATGTATGCCTGTGAGTGACATGAAAAATGGATGCAAACCTGCACTCACTCCCTCCGTCTATCTCTCGTACTCACTGCAGCTCCCACATCAAGTCTTAACCCGACTCTCCTCTCCAACATAACGTCCACTCATCCATAAACACACGCATTACATAGTAAAGCGTACAGTAGTGATCCAAGCTGACATAGAGGATGTGACTGAGCATAAGCGTCCTGTTTGACACCAAGCTGTCCAATTTCCTCAGCCATACTTTGTCTGACATCTGTCTGTCCACCTCAGTAAGACACTAAGATGTGTAATGCATGGCAGTGGACAGATAAATGCATGCAGGGGCTCAAGAGAAGACAGTTTCCATGTAACTGCTGCTCTAATGTTGCAGTGTTTATTGATAGGAAGTGTAATCTTCTGTCAAATCTTACCAAGTCAAAATATTTACGAGGCACTTCTACCCCTAAAAGTGCGTCTCTGTGGGAGCGTCAGGCATCAGCAGGTCTGTGAGAAAAGACAGTAACTGATTGGCTATCAAGAGGAGCTCAGTGGCCTGAAGCATAGAAGGGTAGAGAAAAGGATGGATGGGATGTTGCAGAGGGGACAAAGGTATTGTGTTAAATGGGTCAGGATTTTGGCCGTAAATACAGACAAAGCATGTGGTTCTCTGACATTGGCTGGAAGCCTGTTTGGAAATGAAGTTGGCCCTGCAGGTTGTGGTGTAGTCTCCTTGCAGACAAAGGGACAGGGATTTCTCTGTCATCAGCAATTTCTGATGCATCTCAGAGCAGATAACATTCTGATAATGTTAAAGAGTAGAATAAAAATACAGTCAGAATATTTTAGTAAAATACTGGTATATGCTTGAGTGAAGTGAATGTCAGTGGCCTAGAATTTAGCTAAAATGAATCAGTCTCCGGGGCTGAAAATTACAGCCAATGTGGAAGTGCCGAGAAGTGCACTTCCTCTAATGGCCACTAGAGGCTGGCTCCAAAAGCGAGGCAATTATCATCGACCTACATTATGAAAATGTCCAAATTTACAGCAGAAATAAACATGTTTACAGCCTAACACAAATACAATTTTGGTCTCTATAGCTAATTTCCCCATTCATGACAACTTTAAACCCGTTTACATTTTATTAAGGCTAAAAGTTATGCGTAACAAAGGGCTTGTCTAAGGTTGTCTGCGAGGCCTCACCATGTATACTCAGTCTACCCTCTTGTTCAAGTATGGTCACCTCTGGCTACAAAAATCTAAGACTGCAAAGGGCAGAATGTCCGAGATTCAAAACAGGACTTCACAAGCCAATGGTTAGCATCACAGTGTTAATTATTATTATATAGTCAGAGCCAGAAATTCACAATATGAGATCTACAACATATTCTTACTTAGCAACAGGCTGCAACAACCTATTGAACAATCAAACACCAAATTACAAACACCCGAGACAATTACGACGTCAGTAATTGATTAAAAAACATTATTGAAATGAGACAATCATTTTTTTTCTTTTTACATTTGTCTTCATTAGTAGTGCATTGAAATATCAACCTAGTATGTCATAAAACATTTTACTATTGGTTTTAATGTTTTTACTGAAAATATTATCTTGATATTTAGTGTATTATATTTTTGTTTTAGTTTATTCTGTTTGATTTAATTTAATTTAATCTAATTAAATTTAATTGGTTTTATTTCATTTCCTTTTATTTTATTCTGTTTAATTTAATCTAATTTAATTTGTTTTATTTCTTTTTTTCTCTATTTTATTTCTTTTTTATGAAGATACCCTCTTGAAAGTTTTGAAGTAATTTCCAGTTTGGATAGGACACTTTGATCGGTTGTTGTCAGATCTTCCTTGCCCTTTTCTCCATCACCTACTTTGCATTGTCTAATTTTAGCAATGTATTGTTTTAATCAATTATTGATGGTCTTTTATTGCTTTTTGCTTCAGCCTGTGGCTTGAATATAAATATGTTGTTTCATATTGTGAATTTGCATCCTCATTAAGGTCGGTGACAACAGTTCCACTGAACTTGGTGCAGACAGTGTGCAAGAATCCAAAACTTTCTTTGAGATGATTTCATCATACACACCTGTCTGTCAAATGTGTATTAGATAAAACTTTAAAAATATATTACACTGAAAGCTAGCTGAGCAGTAAACAGCAGCTTTGTATTCACACATTGCAACAGGGAGATTATTTCCTGCTTTTTCTTTACTGATGATAATGATGATAACAGACAAAACCACTCTACAACTTCCTAAATCTTGTTGTGTAAGTGCATGATAAATCATTGTTCGTCTCTTGTGCTTTGCAGTGAAACCAACAGTGATCCACACAGACATGTTTGTCAACAGCATCGGTCCAGTAAATGCCATCAATATGGTGAGTGCAATATCCTGTTAATGTGTATCATTGTTATCAATAATCACCCTCAAACTGCATGTAGAAGTGAAGAAGATTTTTTTTTTCTAACTATTTGTGTTCAGCCTGCCTCCATGATCCTGTGGGAGCTGAGCATATAATGATTCAGAGAGTATAGCTCTCTGCTCTGGAGCTGGCAGGGTTTCACTGTCTTGCTCAAGCACACTTCAGCAGGGCAGATGCTTGCTGTCATGGTGGATTGGTTGGTCCACCTAATCACTATGCTGCCCCACTGCCCTTGCAGTGCAGCAACACAATGCAGGTGTCAATCAGCTACTTAACTACTGCACTGGCCTCTGCACCACAGGGGAAGAATGTGGTCCATTTAATGCATCTGCGTTGCATTAAACACCTCTTATTTGGATATTTTGCCAGAAATGAGAGGCTTTTAATGCAATTAACAGTTGATCAATTGTGTTGCTCAACACGCGGGGCAGATCTCAAAGCAGCATATTTGCAAATGGCTGCATGAGTTTGCAGATCCTGAGATGTTTGCACTTTGTAGTTGCCAAGAAATTGCATCAGCGACAATCTGAGGTGTCACTTGTTCAAGCTCTTTGTGGTTTGTTCAAATAAACAACTGGTTTTTGATTTTCCTTGGATCTGGTTTGAAGACAAGGTTGTTGTTTTTTAAGCTTTTGATCATGTCTGTCTGTTGTTGTGGTTAGAGTGACACATGTAAATTGCGTACTGGTTGCACTGAATTATGTTTGTGTTCAACAGCTGCAGGACTGTTTATTTTCTTTAAACATTACATCTATAAAAATGTGCAAATAAAACCTTTGTGTCTTTAATAAATCTTCCAGTAATCTAGAGAACCATGAAATGAAACTATGAAATAACTTGCAGTCAGGTTAATTAACAAGTGCATGCATCAATCTCCAATGTGGAAATACCAGTTTTGGTCATATTGCCTTTTCTGTCAGTATCTGGATGACTATGGATTTGGTATTTTTGTCATCATGTCTTCTATTGTACACTTCTAGTGTTATTTTATCATTTAACAACACTATTCCTTTGAGAAATAAGAAGCTTGTGATGTTTGTGAAGCCAAGTCTGTGTAGTATTTGTTATACTACTCTTAAAATGATGCACATCAGTTTCAGTCAATATGAGTGGGAGACCTGCTTCCAAAAATCACATCAGTGTATTCCTTTTTATAAAAATCACCACAATTGAAAGTCAGATTCAGATAAGAAGACCCTACTCCATGTTGTTTTGGTAACGTTTTCCACAATAACACATGGATATACTGTATTTGTATGCATATATATATATATATATATATATATATGTATGTATGTATTTGAAAACTGGGGAATAGTAATAGGATATATCCAGAAGCTGTCATGCTCCAGTGACGACCAAAATAGGGCAGAATAGTTCATCTGATAGCGGAGAGGGAAAATGTTTGTCAGAGAGGAAGGAGGATTAGAAAATGAGAGTCTCTGGCAAATCTCGCATCAGCGTTGTTTTCTGTGTCATTGTTTGCTGTGGCAGGTTCCCGCTGAGAACCCACTTCTATGGTAATTCTGCCGAGCAGTCTGCTCTACATGGTGGTGGCGTTCCATTTCACTTAGTCTTAGCTAAAAAACACCCACTCTCAATAACGGCAGCCGCAGCGAAGTTGGAGGAGAAGCATTGATGAGATCAGATAGAAAATGTGACTTTGCGCTCACATTAGGGAGCCTGCCTGCGTCCGTGTGTGTGTGTGTGATGAGGGCATCACGCTGACATGAAACGATGACTGATTGCTGCACATTCATATGTAATCAGCGTGGTTGGGCCAGTGTGTTCGCACTGTGATATGACAAATGTGGTGTGGTAGGTAGATTTTCTGAAGAGCATCTCAACATGAGCACGATTCTAAATTTTTAATTGAGCAGAAATCTTTGAAATATGGTAAATTGCAGCCCATGTTAGAGGGGGGGTGGGACAGAGGGAGGAAGAGAGGAAGAGAGGGAGGGATTTGAAGTAGAATCATTTATTGATGCTTTGTAGCCACTAGAGCTGAGCTGTTCTTTGCTGTTCTTGGATGTGTGCTTCTGTTTGAATTTAAAGTGAGATTCTGTAAAAGATCCCAGAGTATGTATAGGTTAAAGGAAAAAAAAATGTTGATCCTACTCAGCAGGGCCCATATGAAGATCCTAAGGCATTCAGTCTTTCTCTCATCATTGTATTTGAACTGTCTGCCTGTCCTTTGTGGAGGGAAAAAGATGTTGAAAGGATGGGAATGTTGCCTGGTGAAAATGTTGTTTTTCAAATCTCGTTTAGGACTCTTTGGCATGGATTTAGGCTTTATTGTTGGGCTAAGCTTTGTCAGGAAGTTAATGCCTCTATGCCCTCTTACACACAAATCCCCAGATTTTTTTTTCTCTCTCTCCTGCTGTACTTCACTTTGAACCTCAGGGCTCAACCATTCCAAATAACAAAATAAATAAGACTGATAGCTCGCTCTCACTTGCTGACTCTCCTGCCCCCCTCACATTAGACCACATCACACCTTTGCTCTCAGCTCTTCAACTCTGCACATGCCCCTTTTCATCCCTAATATGTAGCTTCCAACAGCTCTCACAGGGGCTGAATAGGAGACAGAAGGTTTTGTCAAGCTCAGGACAAAGTGCTGCCAAGGCACCAGGTTATGAGGTTAGATAATACTCGAGCCAAACAAGGGGAATTATTAATTGCCCCGTTGAACATTTAATTTTCAGGTTGAGGGCGTCAAGATGGTCTTTTTCAACAGAAATCTTTAGTCGGGACAAAAGGACTTCTTGGCCTGAATAGAAACCATCTTGTCTGAGGAAAAAAAAAAAAAAGTGCCTGCAAAATGTGTTCCAGCGTTAAGTTTCCACTGACATAGAAAAGTTCCCCTCACAGAAGAAACAGATGAGTGCTTTTGCAGCCAACATTTGATCTCATTGCATCTCACAGTTAAAAGCCACACACTGGTGACAGCAGTGGTTGCAAACAATACTGTTTGCGAGGTTCCCCTGACAAACAGAGACTTTCATCTCGTGTGTTACATAAAGCATGTTCAGCTTTTAAACTCAAGTTCAACATAACAATTCGGGTAAGACTGTGTTTTATCTGTCGCCAGGAATACACCATCGACATCTTCTTCGCCCAGACCTGGTACGACAGGAGGTTAAAATTCAACAGCACGATGAAGGTCCTGCGTCTCAACAGCAACATGGTCGGGAAGATCTGGATTCCAGACACTTTTTTCCGCAACTCCAAGAAGGCCGACGCCCACTGGATCACCACGCCCAATCGCATGCTCCGAATCTGGAATGATGGACGGATACTCTACACCCTCAGGTAGAATGTCAGGGATGCTTACGATGAGATATGAGTTATTGAACTGATTTGGGTATTTGTCATTCATCTTAGACTCACAGTTTGATTGAGTGTGTGACTGGACGGCCGCATCATTCTACTTACCACTATCACCACCATTTTATTACACTGAAAGCTTAAATTGTCAGCTGTCATTATCTCTGCCATCATGCATCCTGTTATAATGCTCCTATGTTTAAACTGAGAGATAAAAAGGCATCTAATTTTAAATTTAGTGGAATGATAGCTAAGATGATGGGGAGTTCAAAATATATTTACATAAGCTATTAATTCTAGTGCTCTCTGCTGAATAAAGCAGAAAGCAAAAGATAACAGTGAAAATACATTTAACTAGTCTCAGCTCAACAATTTGAGCATTTAAAGCTGGACTAACAATAACTATGCAGCATTTTCTGTTTTTATTTGGATGATTATCAATTTGTTGCCAGCCCAGTTTCCACCAAACACTTTCGGTATTGTATCTTTGGAACCAAAAGTAACCCTTCAGACATGGTATCGAGACCCAAGGTCTGTTGAGCATTTCCACTGAAAACAGTACTCTTAAATGTGGGCGAGGTTGTTGTCACTCACTGTTCCATCCAGCACTCGCTGTATTTCTTCATAGATCGGATGTCTATACCTTGTTTGTTGTCCACACAATGAGGTTGCACATCAGCATTTTCAGAGCAAAACAGAACAGTGAGAGTCTCTCGATGGGATACTAAAAAATAGGGGGTTTGTGAATGTAGTCCTAAGTTACTAAAAGTCTGTGGCATCAAAGACAGACAAAAAACAACTGAATGGTCAAAGTCGTCATATTGACATTTAAGTTGCGCTGATGGATTCAAGTCGTCAACTCATGCATTGAGTAACATTACAAGTAAACGTTGTACCTTAAAAGTCACTGGCAGTCGGCCCAGTGAATTGAATATTTTTTCTCAGACTCCAGCTGCTGCAAGAGACAGCAAGATATCCTTTATTTTTATAGTTGCAGTTTACCAATGTAAAACTTGCCACAGTATGAACAGTGGTTTCAAAACCAACCACTACTCAGCCCTGAGCACAGTGACCGTCAGCTAATGACCAATCAACAGACTGCAGTGTTCACAGCTCCACCTTTTAGTACCAGATCTGTGTGCTAGGTACCCCAACAGAGGGGGGACCAAAAATGGGGACAGTGCGGAACGGTTGGTACCATCCACAACTTTCCACAGTGAGAATGGAAAAAAATACGTACTGAACTGAACTGTACCGTAATGCTCAGTGGAAACAGGGTTTTAGGGGCTCCCTGCTCTTCCTGGCGTCCACCACAAGCAACACATGTGCTTCACTAAAGTATTCCGAAGTACCCAACAACTTACGGCTTCTCTACATAAATGATTCATGGTACTGATTATCCTGAACAGGCTCAGGGCAATTTTAAATTCCAGCATTTTAAATTTGACATTAATTTGCATGCCGGAAACCTGTCCTACTGAATCAGGCAGGATGTTGTTAGTGACAAGGAAACGCTGGAACTGCATCGCCATAAACTGATGTTTGTAGGCACTTTTGTGTGTAGCATTTGGCTTCTTCAATTTTTTATTGTTGTTTTTTTATTAGTTTGAGTTTCTGAAATCTTTGGGAATATTTTTTTGAATATTATAAATGTTATGCAACTTAGAAATATTGCTTGATGATCCAATGGCCCATTCTTGCCTGAAGAGCGACTGATTGGAAATAGTATAGTATAGTATAGTAGTCAAGAAGTTACTGCTGTCTGATGGGTTGGTGTAAAATCCCTGGAACTAACAAGGAACATGTTAAAGGTGTAAAAGAGGAGGATAGATTGAAGGGGAATATTAATTGTGCTTATTATAATATTTTACACGCCATCATAAATACAGCAGACGTTCACACTGACACCACAATATATCATCAGTGATAATAAGAGAGAAAGTGAACTATTCTGGACTCAATCAAGCTGTGATGGATGTTCTGCTATGCAGAACACTACCCCTCCACTTCATTAATTTGTTAAGGAACTCAGAATTTAACCAGTGGTTAATTAGGATGACCGCTGTGATTGGGAGGACAATGATACATGACAATAGCGAGTGCATGGATGGGTAAAGTCATTTAAGGTCATTCTCTCATTAAGTGGAAGTTTAATGACTTTGCCTTCAAACTCCCTCAAGTGTGAAAAAGGAAGAGACGGGTGTGTTGCTGTGAAAAACATCAATTTAGTTTAGTGAAATTCTAATTAATAATTCCTTGTGTTAATGCTGATAAGGTTAGGGGGTTTAATTCAGACCTTTCAGGACCCTCTTAAATGTAAACTGTTGTTTTGTGGTGGACTGGTGTGTCATTTAAAATGTATATTCACGCACATACACTCTTCTATAGTGACTGAGTCAGTGGATCCAAATATTGTGTCTCTGCAGGTTGACCATCGACGCCGAGTGCCAGCTTAAACTGAACAACTTCCCAATGGATGAGCACTCGTGTCCCCTGGAGTTTTCAAGCTGTAAGTTTGGCCATATGCTGATCCCCTACTGTTTTACCTCTTCCTCGCTTTCATCTCAAACACACACACACGCTGTGGCCATGAACGAACAACATATGAGCCTAACAAAGACATCATTCGAGGTGTAATTATGCAACAGCCTAAATCAAGGAATTTAAGCTGCACTAGTTTTTTTTTTTTAGATCACTCTAATCTCCAACAAGATGAGTCATATATTGAGGTTTCACAGATGTATGCATATATTAAGGTTTGTATGCATTTACAGTATGTACAGAATATCTTGCTCTCTCTGCCAGCAAAAATGCTACCACATGCTTCAGAGAGCTCTGTGACAGATAAGAGAAAATACAACAATATGCATTTATGTGAACAAAAACATGTTTATTCAAAGTATGTACTGGCGTTTAATAATAGATGTCTCGTCTGCCAACTTGACCAGAGGTAAAGTCCTGATTGATTTTCCTGCACGTTGTCGATACTGCTCTAAAAGACATCTCAAAAAGTGACACGAGTCCAAATGAGTCAGTTCCTCCGTGTGAGGAGCGGATGGGGGGTAAGTTATGCTAATGAGGCCGCTATGGATCTACAGAGAAATGCACCATGGGATATTCTCCAGAGAGAATGCTTCCCAAATAGCTCCAGAGTAACAAGAAAGAGGAAGTAGGGGGGGTAGCAGGCCTAAAAATGGAACAGAGGCATTCATTTAAATTTGATGAAAGCCATGGATGTTTTCAGAACTTTGAGGATCGCTTGATGTACAGTACATGAGCTCAATCTCAGAGGCAGCAGGCGGAGCACTGCGCTGCAGTTTATCACGCGGCATATTTTCTCGACATGTGCCACAAAGCAACAAAGCATTGCAGATTTTCCAGTGCAACCTCTTTTGCGGTGATTTTGGACACATGTACTTTTAAGCAGACTTAAATGACATATACTGTATCATTTTAATTTCTTAACTGCAGCCACAACTTGTTCCAAAGTGAATTCACGACACTGAGTTCCATGAGCATTGTTGTTCGAGCTTCTCAGTAAGGACACTGAATCAATAATTTGTCCTGGACGCTTTGCCAGTGAAGGAGCAGACGGCCTGCCTGTCTGCGTGCCCGGCTGTAATGTGGCAAATGGGCAGATCCTTCCATCCCCTGCTGCTCTGAGGTCCAGCATTACTGGATGTCTGAGAGCACTTTAGTAATAAAGCCATTTAAAGTTCAAGCTGAGGAAGTTTCATTTGCATTATTCAAGCCACTCAGCAGCACACAGCTCATCACTTGACGAAAGACAACACTAGACTATTCACAAGATAAGGAGCCCCCATTCCAAATTCAACTTAGTTTAAAGGAGGCTAAACTGTGCCTTTTTATTCACATTTGGATACCAGACGTAAATTCAAAATATCATTTGATTGTGATAATGCATCTGCATCGTCTTAAGTGAATCCGTATCAGACATCTAAGATTGTTATTTGATTTTCAGAAGCAGGGAGCATCCTCTCAAGGAAACAAAATTACTGGATTCAAACTCATAGACAGACGTGGATCAATTTTGTAATTTTTGCTTTTAAGTCAACCGAGTGTTCCAGAAAAAAAAGAAAAAAAAAAAGTTTTCACTCCACAGATGGACTGCATATTTTGTCAGGAGTCTGTTATGTAATGGTTCTTTCATGAAAAGGTTTATTTGCAAGCTAGCTGACTGTGTGTATGGATTACTCTGAAATAAAACAGACTGTGCTCTGTGCTTTTGTTTTATATTGAATGGCGCTTCAACATGTTGTTTTAAATAGCAGAGAGCTTATCCAAGGAGTCAAGCCTTAAGATATCTCCTGAAAGGAATGAATTTTTGCACCAAGCTAAAGCTCCATGTTTCTGTTCTGTCCTGTTCAGATGGCTACCCCAGGGAGGAGATCGTGTACAAGTGGAAGAGGAGCTCAGTGGAGGTTGGGGACATCCGCTCCTGGAGGCTCTACCAGTTCTCCTTCGTTGGCCTGAGGAACACCTCTGAGATCGTCAGGACTGTCTCAGGTAAGAAAACACTTTGATCTAACATGCCGTTTTTTCCCCTCTACATGTCTCCAGTGAGGGTTGACTGCATGTTCTTTGCCGGTGACACACTGTTTGTGTCATAGGACGGTCGCATGAGTGACAGAAGTGATTTCTTGAACATGCAGCAACAGAATCGGGGACTCCACGGGTGCTGCACGACACAGCATTCATGTTGAGCATGATATATTTAATCTGATGGAGGCAGGAGCGTGCAGGCAGCATCACCTTAATGTGATGATACGGTGGAGTGAGAGGCATTATTATTATTATTATTGAGCTTAGCTGTGCATGCCACTGACTCTAAACACATTATAAACTAAAGTGAATTTCTCTCTCTGACTCTTTCAAAATTGCCATTTCTCTTTCAAGGCTGACCTATAAGCAATCACTGCTGATGTGTAGACTGGTCTGACTCGTGTCTGTTGCTAGGGGTTACCACATGAGCTTGACTCAGGACAGGGACACGACCTGTTGTGATTTTTATCCACCTTTTGTTCTCACTGACTCATGTACAATCCATAAGGGCTGCCTACTGCATTCATATATCACTGCTCCTGTGGGATGGGCAGGCATATGCTGCTGGCAGAGTGGGATGTATTGCAGGAACAATATATCCAAGATGGTGTCCCATTCATCCACTCAGTGCACTCACTTGAAGCTTTTCAGCTTTCTCTATATTTTTGGCCCATACATCATCGCATAAAAGTTCTTATATGGCTTCTCCTGACTATGTGTCTCCCTTTTTTTTCACAAGACTTTTAGTGGCTTTTAAAGATACACTGGACTTTATGGTACAAATTGTGATACTTTAGAAGGCAGTTATGAATATTTGTGACGACTGTAAAATCAGATGTGTATTTAACCCTTTTTGAGGCAGAGGTATCATGACCTTCAGTTTGTGGCTGCAACTCCTGGAACAAATTAATATTAAATTAAATAAAAATCATACATTTGAGTGTAAGTATGTAAAGAAGAAGAAAGCAACAAAGAAACAAAGACTAAGTGTCTTACAGTCATTGTAAAGAAAGCAGTGCACAATAAGGATTCATTATATTGTTATGTACCTGCATACAGTACAATTTAAAAGCCTTGACTGTTTGCTGGTAAAGCTCTGACACAGAGTCCTGCAGGGATCCATTTTTGAAGACCTGCACCCGCCTATACCCGTAAAGCTCAGTACCAGTACCCACCTTTTACCCTTCATTATGTCTAAGTCAAAGCCGCACCCGCTTGCAACTATTAATAAAAGTCCCGTGACCCGACCCACACCTGTGATAAAACACACACAGGCCACAGTCACTCACAACAAGCTGGGTTCTCCGTTCTTTAATTACAAATCCAGCGGAGGAATAGTCTCTTTCACCAGCTGCACTCGATACCGGTATGGCAAAAACATTCTGGGGCGTCTGTAGCATAGTGGATAGTGCTGGCGCCCCATGTACAGATGCACCTGCCTCGCTGCAGCGGCCGTGGCTTGATTCCAGCTTGTGGCCCTTTGCTGCGTGTGTCCCCCCCCACTCTCTCTCTCCCCGTTTCACACACTTTCCTATCCATTAAAGGCAAAAGCCCATTAAAAAAAAAAAAAAAAAAAAAAAAAAAAACATTCACTGCCAGGTTAGGAAACATTTGAGCATGCTCCTTCCACCACCATAAAACCTCAAAAGGACCCTCCTTGGGTGTCTTGAACTCAATGTAGGTTGCCACCCCATCCTCAGGCTGCAAACTTTCATTCCTTCATTCCTGGAGTCCTCTACGCCGGTGACAAATGTGACAATGGGGTCGAGGTTCGACTTGTGTCATTGATTTTTTTTTTAAAAAGGAATTGAGGCTTAATAATAGTGATTTAGATATCAAAATGTTACACATATACTGCACATCTTTTTTATGTTTATTCTGAAAAATAAAAAAGATATTTTTATTCTCAGACGCTGCCTGCACACATGTAGTTCATTTTCACCTTTGCCCGTACCCATGAATTAATATATATACACATTTTTACCCGTTACACAGCTTTGGCTTGGCAGCTTACCCAACCTGGTGCAGGACTCTGCTCTGACATATTGACTGTCTCACCTTCATTTATTTCCTATTCCTCTACTGTTACATTTGTGTCAACTGTCCACCATGGCATGCCCTAACAAGGGTGGATGGATAAATAATGTGGTGCCGATTAAATTACACAGACGACATTGTGCATCATTCATGCAGTATATTTATGGTGTACTGGCTGCGTTCCATTCACAAAGATGGAGGAATAGGAATATTTGCTCGAGGAAAAACAGGAGAGCCACTGTGTTTGCATGCATATGCTTGTTTGTTTACATTTATATTCATGAGCTGTCGGTAAGTAATGTATGTAATGTTCTGCAAGGAATTATATGTATTCTTTACGCCTGTCTGTGGTGTGAATCAGAGAAAGCCTTCCCACAGAGATTAGCTTTGGCCAGAGGAGAGTTCATTCTCATTAGAGCAGCTGCATTATCCAGAGGAACTGACAATAAAAGATTAAAATAAGGGTCTATTATATATGTACAAGTAAAATATACGCTCATGAATCCCACAGTTAAATTGCTTGGAAAGAAATACAGCCATCTCAGCAATTATTTGCTTAAATTTGCAACTTTAAAGGTGATGAGAAAAGAAAAGCTGCCATATGTTTCTCTATAAACACGGTCGTAGACGGATTTATGTGCTTCAACGCAATCTTCTTTTTATGAGATATTCAATTCATCCAAATCTATCTGTGATGTGAATATTGATCAGGGGGAATGGATGTTTTTGGTTGTTCTTCATTTGTCTATATTATACTATAGGCTGAAAAGCTACAGGAAGTTAAGTCATTGTTTCAGATGTGTGGCAGTAGGGTCATTATTCTGGCTTTCAATTGTAGCTCAGTATGTCTAGTCATTAGTGCTTCCCTTTCAAAATAAAAGCCCAGGCTGTCTTGTGAGAAGTATTATCCGCACTGTAGTGAAACAGGCAAATAGTAAAGTGAAAAATTACCATATAGAGTTTTGATCTTTTTCAACATGTGAATGAGTGTTTTTGGTGATGCAAGTGTAGGGGTGTCAAACATACAAAGGGCCCATTCCAGCCCACTGGATGACTTTGCACACCTAATAGTGATGCACTTTTGAAGGCTAAGAGGTGCCAGGTTTCAGGAACAAGTGAAACAGTGAGTAGCTTTCTTTATGTAAAATGCTGCTTCAGAGGCTTCTCCACCCCGACCAGAGTACAGTCTCACTTTAGTTTTGGTGTTAGTTTGGTGTGGTGATGTCAGGATTACTACACAGGAGTGGAAATGTTTCAAAAAATGCATGTCATGACAGTGAGTAGTCGACTTACTGAACGTGATGCCGAGGTATATTGTTGAAGCTGCATTTATTCTTCTGAAGACATCTCAGGCTGCCTGTCATCTGATTTGTAAATGGATTAGTGTTTTTAATATGTACTTCTTTAAACAAGAAAATGGGGAAAATTTTGTGTTTGTAACTTATAGGATATTACACAGTGGTTTTGCTGGTATGGCCCACCTCCGATCAAATCAGACTGAATGTGGCCCGTGAACAAAAATGACTTTGACACAACTGCTATAAAGATATAGTAGAGTATTGGCATCCTGAGCAAAAAGCCACATTCCCTCTGTATGTGTTGTAATCCAAGCCTTCCTGTTCTTCGTTGTGGTATACAGTCCTGTCACGCATGCATATTAGTGCACAAGTCCCTGTGTGTGTATATCCCACTGGCTAGCTAGCTCAGAAGGCGGTTGCCACTGATAAGGGCAACATATTGTTGCAAAAGGTAGCGCCTACCCTCCAGTTCCCCCCAGGTTAACACAGTTAGCTTAGCACGGTTGCTGTTGTTAGTGATGTTCAAAATGTTGGCACTGTTAGCTGCTAGCTGCCGGCTCAGCCACCTCCATGTTGAGAGCTGTGTGCAGACAATCTGAATCCGAGACTAAATCATAGATATGTTGCATACAGCTTCTTTAATGTTCAGCTTAAATGGGATAGCTGTGGAACTCAGAGGCAATGCTCCCCTATAATGAACAGTTAAGTTTAAGGTAATATTGTGTTTGGAGTGTTTGCTTTGCTCTGTAATGGTTACAAACATATCTGTGACAGAACACCATGAACCATCAGCTTCTGTAGACAACACGTTTTAGAAATGTTTGATTGCATAGGAATACATACATATATGTACTGCACTGGCCTTTGCAGTGTAGTTTATGATTTTAAATATTTGAATATATATAGTCAGCAGACGCACAGAATCATGTTAAGGTGAAATGCTCACTTGGCTGACAAACCGAGCTCCATGTGACACAAACAGAAATACGCTTTTGTGGAAACGCACACAAAGTAACCAAGGGAATAACCAAAGTCACCCAGTCGTTCAGTAATTCGCCGCAGTTCAACAGAGTGTCACTGCAACGTTATGCTCACACACACACACACACTCCCACACACACACAGGGAGGGTTGTGGTGTGTACGGTGCATTTGCGTTGAGAGACCAAATGCTTGAACAGCAGTGGTGCAAGTTGATTAAAAGATAAATAATAAAATCGTGCTTGTAAATTTTCTCTCTGTTTAAATCAAAACATTTTTCAAGTGACAACATAAAAAGGCGATCTGTGTAGGAGGGTGAGCTGTAGTGGAGAATCTGCAGCGTCCTCTGACTCTCTCTCTCTGATCTGGTTTGTTATTTCCACAAACAGCCATCTGCTCTCTTGTCAGAGCAGAGAACCTTGACTGTGGCTGAGAGACCTCTTGTCTCATTTTGCAGTCAGTTTGGGTATCTGACCTGCTTCAAGATTCATGAACACAACATCTGTCTCAAAAAGCACTCAGTTAGGGCCTTATAATTACCCAGTCATCTCAAGCACTCGCGATGCAGTGCGTAGCGCTCCTGAAAGGTGTGCTGGAAATGTCAGAAATATTCCTTAATGTGCTGCATCATTATCAGCTTCTTCTCTGC